CGGGCGGGTGTGAGCCACAAGTGGTGATGGCGGTACCCGGTTGCAGGGGTACCGCCATCACCACTTGCGGCCCCGGCCCGTGCGGCAAACCGCTGGGGCCGTAAATGGAGGGGTCCATCGGGTGGCCATGCTGTCAGGGCCACCTGATGGATGTGGATTGTGAGGGGGCCTGATCAGCGCTGGGTTCCCTGTGTTTATGGCTTTTGATGATATGTATGTGGTAATACATAGTAAAAATATTTATAAAAATTATCACAAATAATAATTTATATATATATATATATATTTACTTTGGCACTGTTTCCCCTTGATTGATTTAAAGCGATGGGTTACCCACTATTTTAACTCTTATAGACCATGGAATCTGTTTCTTAGAGGATTTATATTTCAGACATTAATCACAATGTTACGGTACCTCCAGTAATAAAATGCACAAACCGCCGTTTAGCGAATGCTCCCCGTTCGCAATAATGTGGTCTGGTAGCAGGTATAGTAAAACCATGCGAACCGCCAGCTAGGGAACACTCCAAACTCCCGAACGGTACCTGTACGGCTCTTTCCCTTCACGAGCTCCAAATCCACGAACTGCCAATAGTAGCCGAACGCCAATATCTTCCAAGCGGCAAATAATCCAAATAAGCAGTCTCTAGTCGCCGGTAATAAAATCCCCCCAATAACGAGACCAAGCTCCGCTTTGAGGGTAAAACACGAACTGATTTACTGTGGGCTACCTGCCCGGTATTTATGCAGGTCTCCCACCTGGTGGACACTCCCCTAGGGGACCAAATGGGAGACTGGAATTACAGAAAGACATGGGGACATTTTGGACATACATCCCCACAATATTCCCAGCATGCATCATAGTTCCCTCCCCTCTGCTCGGGGGATAATTGGAAAGTAATTCAATTATCTCCCCGAGCAGAGGCAAATCGCCATTTTAAGTACAAGTCACAAAACACATAAAAATCTATAACTTTATAACTGCCGAACATATTGCATTTGTGTAACACATCCCCAGATAGCCTGGATCTGAGTGCATATTATTGGCGAATAGCGCTCAGATCCCATTAGCATAGTTCAATCGCCATGGAGTCAAAGTCTATTACAGTTCTTCGGTATGCGATTGACTCCATGGGACGGCTATCTGGGTTAAGTCCATTCGTGTTGTTGAATCTCCCGAACGGCCGGCATTCGTATGCTTTTGTCGATTGAGAAGGGGAGGTCGACGGCTTCAGCGGTGTTCGGTTGAAAAAGTGTCCGTTTTCAGATCCATGAAATAATCGTCGAACACCGCTGGTCTTTCGCATGGTTAAAATGGCCGCCGCCTCGTGGTCGACATACGAACGACGACCACCCGGCATTCGGTTTTAATTGAGAAGTGTCTGTGGTTAACCGCAACGTTCTAATTGGGATCAATAGGTTAACCAGCAGCACACTTCTCTTCTGGGTGGCCGTCCGTTCGGTAGTTCCGTTCGACAAAAAACGACATTCCCTTAAACAAACATACGAATGGGGGAATTCATGCAAACGGCAAAACAGACGAACACAGTACTTTTAGTCCAGACAGATGGGTCTGTCACACACAACAAATGTAAAAATATTTATTTTGACAAATTAATAAAATGTAATACGAATGAAAAAAATCAGTGAATGTTTGTTATAACAATTGTTTCAAAGATGGTAACAATTATGGCAAAAAAAGATAACTCAAAAATCACTCTTGAAATTATCCACCAGTAGGGTCTATATCTTAGCAAGTATAAGTACAGGTTTTCAAGACACATGAATAATCAAACAGCTTCTTAGCAACATAACGTTTACTTAATTTCCAAAGCAGTTCATCAACAATTACCTGCATAGATACTGTTACGGTTACCCCCAGGCTAGCTGGGCGCTGGACCGCTTGGATGGTCTGGATCCCAAAGGCAGAGAAGGAGAGTCACTATGGTAGTTATTCCATACGAATCCTGTAAATGTAGAGCAATCCCACTAGCTATCATGCAGCTAGGATACCCTTTTCCCCATAAAACAAGTCGAGGCTGTGATTTGAAGGTCAAGCAAGAACTGGCTTTAATGACACACAAAGTCTCAGGCCCAGGGACAGCCCCCTCTGGACCTGATGGGATACAGGGACAATACAAGTGGGGAATCAATAGAAATGCAATGCATCGTTTGACATCGTCACCGCCCAGCTTGGAGATAATTAATCCAACGGTTATGACAATACAATTATCTCCAAGCGCCCAAAACCCCACGTGTTTTTGACACATAGAAAACAGGATAAACAGGATAAAAATACATAACTCAAACAGTTTTATACATAATTCGTGCCTTCCACCATTCATTACATAGCCCCGGTTGAGGCGAAACAATTAACCGGAGCGCTCAGAACCCACGAATGGTACGCTTCATTTCCCCGAAACAAAGTCTGTTCGTGTTTTTGGGTTCTGAGTGTGTGATGGCGGCCATGTTTTGAGGTAGACTAATAGGCCACGGGACTTCACCCTCAAACATGTGGAACAGTAAAGAAGTCTGCACGAATCCCCGCTCCGTCGCTGGATGTCTCCTTTGTTCGGGAGGTGAATGAAGACCGCCTAGAGGGGGTACTTGACCTGCGGTTAACCGCAGAAACCAACATTCTAATTGGAGCCACACGCCAGGCTGTAGGTGGTCCTTGTTCAGTACCCGTTCGGTAGTTAGAGTATCGGGCGATGGGGCACGGACGTGAATGCCCTGCTGCCGTCAATTAGGTTGCGGTTAACCGCAGACCGCAACTCTCTGGGCGATTAAGTGGAGACACGCTCTGCTCGTAGGGTGAGCCAAGGCTTCAAGAAAGGTACAAGATGATCTGGTTTTAATGACCACACACTGGCTTTTATGCAAGTCCCCATGCAAGGGGACATCCCACAGGGTGGGACACAGTCTAACCAATCACAGACAATACAAACAAAACACTCCCACAGTGACATCACAATCCCTCCTCTCTATCCTGGAGATAATTGGGAAGTAATCAACTTATCTCCCAGGACAGAGGCAAGACTCCATTAACCACATGGTTACAAAAAGACATAAAATTACACAATGTTACAATTACTAGATAAAACATACACCTGCAACATATCCCCAGATAGCTTAGATCTGAGTGCACATTATTATTGAATGGCGCTCAGATCACATACATACAATTCAATCGCCATGGAGCCAAAGTCTTTTCCATAGTCTTTCGTTACACGAATTGGCTCCATGGCATAGCTATCTGGGGTAGCACTACTCACATACTGGAAGTCCCGAACAACCCGGCAGAAATACCCAAATAAACCTTATTGCAGGGTAAAATACAGCTATCAGCACAGGGGCCATAGTCGGAAGGCAGGAGGCTAGCCAGTAGTCCCCTCCAGGCACAAGTGGCAAAGGGCACTTCGTCACATAGAGCTTTCCACATTTTTAACAGGTTCTTGTTAGAGTTTAATATTGTCTATAAATTTTCCATGGAGACAATGGTTGCTTTCATTTCTTTTTGCCCCCTTCACTTCAAACTGTCTTTCAATAGTATAAAATTATATTTAACCGGCATTCACCATTAAATCCTCACTTTATGGCGTAACAAACCCAGTTTCCTTTCATCCTCTTAGATTAAATCAATATTAAAAGGTACAAAAGACTTCAGTCTTATTCCTATACCCTCTAGATTACCCATACATGATCAACTGTTCTGGTTACTAAAGGATCTCAAAGATGCC